ATTCGGGGTAGACAACGGCTTGTTCGTTCATTTCAAAGTCGATGACTTGAAATCTAGGTCGGTAGGTCAGATGGCGTGTTAACGTGGTCAGGGCGGCGCGGCGTCTGCGAGAATGAAATCGCGCCTAATTCCGAGTTGTCACCGCATTCTACGGATGTGAACAGTTTCCCACCCGCCTAGATCAGATTACGCTGCTGCAAGCTTCGGGGAGCTTAGTGATCTTGCCAATATCAGCAAGATCTGTCAGCGATCCAGCGCCGACCTTTGAGACCTCCTTCTCTCTCTCCACTGCAGTTTGTCGACTACATACAGCATCTGCAATCCAGAGTCTCCTGCCTGTCGGCGCAGAGGCTTCCCGGTGAATCGAGGAACATGATTCTCCTCTGCTTATCAACGATTTGTACGGTGCTGCTGATCTTGCTCTTCCGCGAAATCCATAGAGCCGCTACATACTGGAGGAATAAGGGTATACCCTACGAATCGTACGGCAGCTATCTCTACTATTTCTTCTTCTGTGAGAGCCGGGTGGACATCTTCAATTCGATCGAAGAATACAACAAGAAATACGGAAGCGTATACGGTACGTATTCGGGTCTGAGTCCTGTTCTGCGGGTCAGCACTCGAGAAGGGATCAAAGAAGCCCTCTCGAGTAACTTCTACGAAACGCCCATGCTCGGACGATGACGCAGGAAACCGGTTCGAAACTTTGGAATCACAACGTTCTCGCAGTGAGGTAAAAGGAATGGAAACTGGTCCGACCTCTTAGCGGTAGCGTCTTGACGGGATCGAAACTGAGACTCATGAAAGATCAGTTCGAACGATCTGCGAAGCTCCTCACATCGAAGTTGGAGAAACTTGCGGACACCAATGAAGAGATCTCCACGGCTCATTACTCGCACGCTGCAGTCATGAACGCAATAGCTGCCGTGACCTTCAGCTTGGACATCGATGCTTTCGATGATCCGAATAACAAGTTCGTCGAGAGCTTCACCGGCTGCTTCAACGGCAGCTTGGGATTCAATCTGATGATGGCATTCCCTAATATTCTGAAATACCTGCCTTTCGTCGAGTATCCGCCGAAGAAACTCGACAACTACTTCGTTCAGTTCTCGAGATCGCTGCTCGAAAAGCGTCGGAAGCAGATCAGGAATCCGGAAGAGTTGGACTTCCTCGATTCCTGGCTGGAGAGTCAGAAAGCGAACCCAAAACTCACAGACGACTTACTCATCTCCCAAATGATCATTTTCTTGATAAATGGCTTCGAGACTTCAGCCTATGCGCTGACTTTCGCCATGTACCTCTTCGCCACACATCCACAAATGCAGGAGAAGGCTCACCGGGATGTCATTGAGAACATCTCGGATCCCGACAACGTGACATTCGAAGACTATCACAAGATGAAATATCTCGAGGCTGCGATCTGGGAAACCTTGAGGCTGTATCCAATGGACTTCGTCACCGACCGAGTGACTAGTGAGCCATGTACGATAGCCGGGGTTTCCCTAGACAAGGGTATAACCATTCACGTCCCGACGAGTGCTGTCAATAAGGATCCGGAACGTTTCCATGAGCCGTCGTTATTTAAGCCGGAAAGGTATTTGGAGGGCGGCGAGAAGACTCAAGAAATCATAAGTTTCGGTGAAGGGCCCAAAAAATGCGTTGGGAAACGATTCGCCATCTATCAGCTGATAATTTTCATGGCGGCCATTCTACGGTCAGTGCGTCTGGAACCCGCCGACGACGGGGTTTACGATCCTTCTCTGGAATATCAGGCTGAAATAGAGAGACAGCCTGGGCAGATGTTTCTGCCTTTCCCGAAAGACACTCTGAGAGTGAAGGTCGCCTCAAGACGAGCCTGATATCAGTACAGCCCAATCGTTCAGATCATCATCATTCAATGAATTGCAAAAACGATCTGCTCCTTCCGTCGCGTCGACTTCTCCTAGTGTACTCAATCCACCATCGAGGCGCCAATAAATTTTCAAGCTCTCCGATGTTAGTAGTTCGTGACTCGGCCGATCCTTGTCGTTTTTCCGGTGGGGCATTGCAAGGCACTGCGGTCGGTCGCCTCTCCCAGGCAGAATGGGTATTCCCACCCTGGATAAACATTCTGGGCAATGATGCCCGATATCCGTGTTATGCTCATCTCATCAGTCATCGCCAACCGTTGCCGTGTTGGCTGACACTCGAAGCCGCGCAAAAAAGAGAGGACGCCTACCTGCGTCGGTTGAAGAGCTCTAGCAAAGCTCTTCCACGTGATATTCTCCATGATATGGCAATCGATGCGACGTGTCTCGATAGACAAGATCGGATTCCGGTCCGATATCCCCAGTTCGCCGCTTTCGATCCAGAGAATTTTCCATCCACGCAGCTACGGAAAAGTTTCATCGATTATTCCGATCAATTTTTCAGAGGGAATTCCGTCGTTTCCATGACTGTAGAACTGTCCCGGAGTCCTAGGCTGCCTGAAGTCAGGCTTCAATCCTCGGAAGACGGGACTCCGCGGGGGTTCTTTCGTTGTGAAATGGAGATCCTCAGGATACTTCGGCGCAGAAAGAGGTATTTCGGGGGCCGGCCTGCGCTGTCTCACAGCGATCGCTCTGGCCTAGCTGTATTTCATTCGCGAGGGTCCGAAGCTAGCTAGTCTAGGCGCGGAGATTAGAAGGAATCCTTTTACGGAGCTTTCGGAACCAGGTATGAGACGACTGAGATCGAAGAAGGGTTTGTGGCCGACATGATGAGTGAGGTCGATATGGTCAAAGAGGGAAGTAGGCTCCTGATCGAACTTGTGGAGTGGAATCTCAGGAGCTGGTTCAAGACCTCGATGCACCCGCTCCTGACCAGAGACTTCGAGAGCTCCGATCTGGACGACAGTTTCTCTCACGACGTGAGGGTTCGACCAATGCAGAGAGTAGTTTTCGTCTGCAACAATTATTCAGGCATTCGGAACGAGGGTCAACGCATAACGCGCTTGGTGCACATGTATTCGAAACTCCCTCGAAGAAGAAACGCGACCGACCTCTTGGTCGTGATGACCCGAGCCCCCAACTTAGTGGATTTGACCATCGCGACCCAGCTAGAGCATTCTCCGAACGACTTCAAAGAAACAATCATGCTGAACGTTCCGCCCGGCGCCATAACTCCTGTCAGCTCCGTCTGCATCCGGAAATCAGCCGTGAAGCTTCCTTTCGGCTACGAAATGAATATTAAAAACACCCACTGGGCGTTGCCGTTCAAGAAGTGCGGCGCGTATTGTAGTGAGAGCGATTTGAGAAAAGCGCGTCCCCGTCTGCCGTCGGAGTCAAAAACCCTCCGAGACATGGAGTTCCGTAAACCGCTTTCCGCATGTGCTCTCCTCCCCGTTCACACCGATTTCGAGCCCTGCGTCAATGAATCTTATAATTTCGTCTTCTATGACTTTCTGGCAGAAGCCCCCGCTAGAATTCCGTTCGTGCTGGACGATGGCCTTCTCACGTCCGGTTTCGACAAGTATCCCCTCGCATCCGAAATACGAGGGCATTTGCTGAATCAATTCAACTTGGCCATCATGACTCTTCTCGGATCATCGATTTGGCTGCTGAGCGACGCAACATTCAACGATTCGTTCATAGCTCTACTATGCGGCCTAGAAAAATTAGCTCAAGGTTCTCGAAAAATGAAACGTCGAGATGTCGACTCAGGGATTTATAGAGTCAAGACGCCATACAAGTTCTGGCAAATGTTTGTAGAGCCTGCCGACCTAGAAGATCTTTCCCCGACGACACTGCTCAAGTGCGGCAGACAAACGGACCTCGAACGAATTCGCAATTTCTTCGGCTTCGAAAACATGTATCGCATCCCGCTGCAGAGGCACGATCGCAAGTGGACTTTGTTCCCCGTAACATTCCCGAGCTTGGGGGCCTCGAAGCCCGTGAGGCTCCTCGCTTCTTACGCGGATAAGTCCGAGTGGAGTGAGTACGCTTCTCTAATGCTGACATCCGACCCTCTCCGAGCGCCGCTCGACAAAGCAATGCAGGAACATTCGAGATCGGTGAAAAAGAACCCGAAGAAGAAGAATTCTGTAGTGACGTTCTCTGTCGTCGGAATGCTTTGTATCAGAGGCGTAAATTCTTCGGGAAGCCTTATTAGTATGAGCCCAGCCAGGAGTTCATCGTCGACGTTGCTGTGAATCGCGCGGAGACTCTGCGACGCTTTGACCTTCCTGTTCATGTACGTCTTCATGTCCGGGCAATCCGCGTAACGGGTCGCCGTGAGTTCTTCGAGTAGCGCGACCTGACGATACAGGCCCCTCGGCTGATACAGTGTCTCCAGTCGGTCCCACATCGCTTTAGCTGACCTGAATTCGCGAATATCCGAAAACAATTCTGAGCTTATCCCAGAAACGATAGCTGCGCGCGCCCTTTTCCCCTGACGATCGTCTTCCTTCGAGCCTTCCACGTAGTCACAGAGGTCGCAATTAAAAATATGGGCTTCCATAGCAAACCGCCAGTCCATATAATTCAATGCCCCTTGAAGCTTCTCAAAGGTTGATGGAACGTTGACATTGATCGTTGGGGCAGGCTAGCTGGAGGCTTGCACGAGCCTTTCTGGAGCACTGTTGTCAATTGTTGGAGCAAACGAGTTGAAGATAGTTGCTGGCCCGTTTCCTTCCGTGACCTCTGACGAATCGGGAATCGCTCGTTCGGCTGACGTCGGCCCCGTTAGAGAGTCCGACGATTCTCCTGAGCGCTCCATGTGCCTCTTCCCCGAAGCAGTACTAGCTTGGGGTTCGAACATCTCGTTGTTCCTCGTCGATCTTGTTCGGACCGGAATCGTGATCTCCTCGATCACCACGCTGACTCCAATTTCCAATCGAAATTCGTCTAACAAGTTCGAACCGATGTTCACACTACCTCTTCGGGTAACTCTCACAGTTTTACACCAGTTCACCGGTTCACCGACATGGACCTGGGCCCATAACCTCTTGAAAAGTAGAAATCAAAGAGGACACGAGGTGTAGCGCACTAGGCCTGAAAGCTGGAAGAGAGGATGATTCTCTTTTGTTTTCACGATAGAATTACGGTAATGAACACATGGCGGCGCTGGCGCAGACGGCGTAGTGGCGCTTCTGCTCACACCGATGCTGCGTATCTTTCAACAGATTCATTGTATTTCTCTCAAGTATTCATGTCGAGTGATAAATCACATTTGCGCCTTCTCTGCATTAGAAATCGGTCAATTTACGGAGTTTGACACAGGGAGCGAGCATTCCGTTGCATCAGTGTACAGACGAGAAAGGGAGAACGATGGGGTCTGAGAAAGAGAGAGGCAGAAGAAGGTGGACGCTCACCTTGAATCAATCTCGAGTTCGTCAAAGCGTATGGAGCGGAGCGGTGACACGAACCGTTTCTCTCTTCGCGCCGCTGCAATTTTCCTTTCTTGGTAATCACATTTTTTTTCCGGAAAAATCACGAAAAAATGATTTTTCCAGACGAAGATCGACCTGTATCTCATGGAGAAAATATCTCAGGACGGTGATTGGGACATGGTTCTGTAGCTCTTGTTCCCAGCTTTCGAACGCCACCAAGCGCGAGTCTCTAGCTCATCCCGTTCTCGCGCAATGACCGTTCAAAGATTTCAGGTGTTTTCAGGGGTCCGAACACACTATAATTTTTCTTTCGCATACCATTCGGACTTGAAAAGCGATTGAGATGATCTGAGTGCGTCAATATGCTCCTAAAGAGTGGGACATTACGCCACGCAATCCATTTCGAAAATCGGAGTCGTGGCCGAAAACGCTCCCTTACCCAGCTGTACCCTTTTTGAGTTGTTTGTGTTCGTGAGTCTCTCGAATGAACATACGGCGGACGTCAATGTATTTGGTCCGTTCGTGGAACTGCGGACTTTGGATGACTTTTATTGCCGTTTGGTTGTCCACGTAGATGGTTGGAGTGACCGGGATGTTCAATCCGTTGTATAGGATCTTGAGCCACAGGGCTGACTTACAATTAGCTCCTTCAGTGACACTTATGAATTCACTTTCTGTAGTAGACAGACTGACTGATTTTTGAGCTTGGGATTGCCATAGGATTGGACCACCGTTTAGTTTGCAAGCAAGACCGCTTACACTTCTGCGCCTTTCCTTGCACGCTGCGTAATCGGCGTCCGTGTAAAATTCTAGGCTCTTGGGAAGGGTTGGATCACCCTTGCCTGTGTACACGATTGACAGATCGGTGGAAGCCTGTAAATAGCGCAGGACTCAGAGCTGCGTTCCAATGAGCTTCGGTGAAATAATTTCTCGATGAGGACGTTTCGATTGAGGCGTTGACGCTTGCTCGATTGAGTAAATTCCTGAATCAGCAGGTATGGATTGAGCTCGACAGTTTTGCATCTCGAACCGCTTCAAAACGTTCCTGGTATTCTTCCTTAATTGATCCAGATATTGTTGGCTTTATCAACAGTGATTTGCATGCCGAGGAAAAGACCTGGTGGGGATGTCGTGATTGTGAAATTTTTTGATATGCCATCCAGTGTTTCAGTCATGAGACGATCGCTGGTGATACTTATCATCATGTCATCGACGTAGACGACGAGTAGACTTAGTTCGTTTTCTGCGCGTTTGTATAAGAGACAATTGTCTGCTTGGCTTCGAGTCAAGTTGAGGTTCTTCACGACTTCTGCAAGTTTTTTGTTGAAGCATCTAGGCGATTGTTTCAGACCGTATGAGCTTTTATGAAGTAAGCAAACTCGGTTTGTGCCATGCTCGAAGCCGGGAGGTTGAGTTACGTATACCTATCCCTCTAGATCTCCAAAGAGAAAGGCACTTTTGATATCGCATTGTTTTAGTCTTCATACCTTTAGCAGCGCTGATGGCCAGGAATACTCGTGAGGTATCGAATCGAGCCACGCTTGCATAGGTTTCATTGAAGTCGATCCCCGCTACCTGATGAAATCCGCGCGCGACGAGTCCGACTTTTTGAATCTGTCAAGCTTGTTTTCAGCGTTGGATTTTACTCGATATACCCATCGA